ACCTTGGAAACACTGCGACAGGGGGCCCAAATAATGACATTGCAATAGGGAGCAAGTCTCTAAAGACCAGTGTCATATGAGGCTGAGCTAAAATGATCAGAGGCAGTTAGCTATAGGTGGGTGGGCCTCTGAGCACTTTTCTGCTTGTCATTTTCTCTCCGTTAGGGCGGGTGTGTGTGGAGGCAAGGGACTGTAAATTCAGAATGCTTTAGGGAGAGCAGGTTGTGGAGGTTGGGGCGGAGGAGGGATTCTAGTTATTTTCTGACTAGTATCTTTGATGGCACTGTCCCTAGAGACCACCGTGCTGCCAGCCTGTTACTCATCCCCGGAGTGAATATTACTTTAGGAGAGGTCCCCATTTATGTGGCATCTGTATTGAAGCCTAAGAATCATTTCTAAAAAGAAGAATAATGCTGTTCAAACTATAAGAATGGGAAATTGTGTTAAAATCCACCCCTGGATCTTAGGAAAAGATTACATATTAAAAGTATGCTACAGGAGCTAACGTAAACAATCCAGGCCTTCAGCACTTTCTCTGAAAGGGAAAGAAAGGGTTTTACATTTGAGGGATTATGGGAGAAGCTGTGGGGAAGGGTCGGCCTGCTGACAGGAAGAGGATAAGACATTGAGTGGGAGGGGAAGCATAACCAAGTCATTTTTCTGGTCAGTGAACACTACCAAACAATTACGAGGATGGAAGCAGACATCTCTCATCTTCTTCAAAACAAAAAACTGAGTGAGCAGCCATATGTGAGGCTATGTAAACAGGACACTTCTGATCCCAGGAGTTAACAAAGACAGTGCCAAAAAAATGAGTCACTCAAGCATTGCCAAGGCTGAGGTTGGGGCTGAGTCATATGCGAATAAAATGTAACCTCACGTCCCTGCCTTCTTGTCCAGCTTCCCTGGATGGTGCAGGTGAAATGGACTTTTAGCTGCACCTCCTATGAACATTGGCTGTGTAGGTAAATAAGCCAGAAAATTCAGGATTTTTTAAAAGGATTTTCTTAAAAGTAATTTTTCCCGCTGAATGAGCCAAGTCAGCCACTCGGGCCTTCTTTTCTTTCTCCAGAGCTAACCAGGCTGGTGTCTAGATTGGGAGAAACTGTACCCAAGTCCAGAGAAAGCACACTCCAAGGAGTCCTCGGTAATTACTGAATGGAATTATCCACATGCCCATCTGGCCAAATCACCACTATCAGGTGAGTAACAATCTGTGTACACAGCACACCTTTCCTCTGCCTCCTGAAGCAAGTCCTTGGATCCCTGAAGAGCTCTCTTCAATCTCTGACCATGACATTTAATGCTGGCTTAGTCAGCCAACGTGTCTAAGACAAGTCATTGACTATGACACAGTCACTGCCCTGAAAGAATTAATTGTCTTTTGGTAAGATAAATTAAGTAAACATATAACTTTCAAACATAGCAACAAAATAAAAGTGTTTATGAGAGAGAATCAAGGTGAGTATATAGACATAGATTTAGGCATCTCAAGGATAGCTTTTTAAAATATAGATCTATATTGTTGGTCATATTGTACAGGCCTCCAGTCACAAGATGAATAGGTTTTAGGGAGCTAATGTGCACAATAGTGATTATAATTAATAATGATGTATACTTGGAAGTTGCTCAAAGAATAGATCTTAAATTTTGTCACCACAAGTGTTGATTATATGACCTTATAGAGGTGTTTGATAACATTACACTGGTAATCATTATAAACAAGTATATAACATATTAATTTGATACACTTATATATTACATATTACAAATTAACATATTATATACCTTCAACTTACCAACGCTTATATGTCAATTATATCTCAAAAAGCTGTAAAAATAAATAAATAAGAAAAATATATAATATAGATAAATATATACACATTTATATGATATGTATAAATGTGTCTGTGTTTGTGCAGATGGTCTGAAATGAATTTTAAAACTGAGATAGGATGCTCTCGAAGTCCTTCAAAATGTGTAATATTGAGACAGGCAGAAAGGAAAAAGGAAGATAACTCTAATCACAGGTTAGTCTGAAATGAAAGAAAATACTGTTTTTGACCCACAAGTAAGCACCACATAAACCACTTTAAAATCATTGTGTCATCTTTATAACTCCTTGAAAACTTGGTATGAGGCAGTCTCTAGGATGACCGAGGTTACACATGAGTAGAAAAGTCAAGATTTGCAACCAAATTATTTCCCAACTTCAAAGCCAACACTGTCTACACTGCACATATTAAATTAAGGCAGATACACTGAGAAATTGGAAGATTCTACTTTTCCCATCAATCAAAAGCATGAAGTAAAGTCAAATGGGTAAAAGATCTGCACATTATTAAAGAATTTCTGTGTGCATAGGATGAATATATAGAATCTCTGCTTGACTTCAAAGTTTAGCTACAGTTTTTCAAACATGTACTATCATTTGTTCTTTTGTTTTCAAAACTGAATAGTCAAGAGCAACCAGGTTGAGTTCAATGAGAGTTGAATTGAGGCTAAAGAATCACCTCTTTCTGGAAGACCAATGATTTTCACATTCGTCTTTATTTTATCCAGTTAAGGAAACCTACTCTTTTATCACTAGCTTCAACCTTCTTTCTTGGTCTTTTTTTTTTTTTTTAATTTGACAACAAAACATGAATGAAGCGTTTAAGTAATTGCAGACACTATAGCCAAAGATGATGATTCTGATCAAATTCTTCTCCTGGCTGGAAAAACAGTATCTGCATGTAACATTATTAAATGTTCATTTGGGAGCTGACTTATGGAAATCCCAATTCTGGGTGCAAAAAGAAGCCTCAAGTTGTTGAACAATGCATATGTAAAAAAATAAAGGTTGTAAAGAGCCAAGTCTAGGAATGCCATTGCTGATTATTATAGAATGAGTCCCTGCATTTTTAACAATCTGGAAATGTGGAGAATAATTTATTCTCTTTGAAAGTATAATAATTTTGTATTAATTCACTAATATTTAAGACATTTTATTGAGAATATAACCATGAACAAAAACAAAAAATCTTTTTAAGTGCTTCTCAAAACCAAGCTTGAGAAACATATCTATGTTATTTTTGAAATATGATACATGCTATATATATTAATCATCAGAATGATCAGAATTTTGCATATTTGGTATGACATTTAAATTCCCAATTCTTGGTAGCCTATGTGGGACTAAGAACTCCCATGGACCAGTAAAATTATAGGAGTAAGTTGCCTTGAGATAGTTGAGCTGGAGATAAGTAGAATTCCTTACACTGTATCAAAATGAATCTAAAGAAATATGTACATATAGTTTTGTTGTGACTAAAACAAACTAGCATTCACAGTGAGAAGAATGACCCAATTTACATGCTGGAATATTTTATGTATTTTATGTTCTGAAGAATTATTATTACTAACAATGACCTACATTTTGAATACTTAAGATCAGGAATATCTATCTATCTATCTACCTCTTTATCATATTTTCAGAGTGATACAGATGTAGATATGTATATAAATATTTGTACAAGTATGAAATTTATTTCAATCAAAAGACGCAAGAGATATCATTTTTTTTTTCTTTTCTCTAAATCAGATTCAATTGCCTTAAAGCTTTCACAGTGACACACAGGAATTCCAATTTGAGTAATTTTGGGACTCCCTATCTGCCTACAGAAATTTAAACATGGAGGAAGCTAAAGTCTTAATCCATAGAGGTTGTCATTTTTTAAATTGTGCCTATGACCAATAATGCTGTTGCCAACTGCCAGTCCGGGCCATCTGGCTTTTGAAAATTGCTGCTCCATGCTATCTCTGAGATGACCCTCATACAAACTCCCCTATCGACCTGATATCCCACAGCCGGTCCCTTATCTGAGGTGCTGGGACATGCCAACTGTCTCTGCCACCCCATCATTTGTCTGTCTCCTCCCAATCTAGGGAGGAGTTAGAACTTACTCTCTGGAACGGAAACCTGAACCTCCTCTATTCAAAGCACTTACTTCCCTCTGTCCCCTTCATCTTCCCCCATCTTGGCCTTTAGAGACATAACATTTTTGTTAACTTCCTCTGTTATACATGGAATTTTCATACCATATAATTTTTAAAAGTTTATTTCTCGCCAACTGGATTTTGAAAAATGTTTCAGGCAGTTTACTCCATTCAAAAATGTCATACGAGTTATGAATATGCATTAGGTCAGCATGCATCTGAACGTGCAATGCTTAAAGGACTGACCTCCAAAATCTATTTTAAACTATGTTGAACCAAGCAAATAAATTTGACTCCAATCATTTAAAACAATTATTTAATCAGCAATCACGCTTTAGTTGGCTGAGTGCCTTTCAAGCTCTCCTCTCATTTTTCCCTCCCTGGCCAAAGAGATCAGGAGCTGAACAAGTTGGTGTGATGTGTTCTTTTCGAAATGACTGCTTTTACCATTAAATTGGCCAGATGATTAATTTAAAAATTAAACTGTTTGGTCAGATACACGTACCCCTTTAAAGATCATTTGATACTGGATGCTGAATATCAAAGACTCACAGTAGAAAAAAGGAAACGTGGTTGTTAAAATAGCCTTGTACAGTCGCTATAAACAGAATTTTTTAACATGCAAACTGTACAGTGAGTACAGTGTTTAAATCCACAAAGATGCTTTAAATAGAGTATTTCTGTAATGTAACATCTTGTGTTTTCATATTTCCCATCATATTCAAAAATATTCTTCAACATAAAGAAAAAGTACAATATATTTGCATAGTAGGAATTAAGAGCTGAAAACACCAGAGACTATAAAGAAACTGGAATAATAAAATATAGCACTTTCTGATTTCTGTATATTTTAAAAGCGAGTGTTTATACTTGTAAATTATTATATACAGAATTACTATCAAATTCATGATGTTTTTAAAAATAGAGTAACAATGTTTTCTGTAAATGCTGGACTCACAAGGATTAGGCTATGATTATTTTCTCAAGGACATGTAGATGTCAAAGTGATGTATATGCTTATGGATTATCCTTTATAGAGAGGGAAAAAACTAAGCAAAGTAATATAAGTAAAATAAATCTAGCAATCAGTGAAAAATTAATTAAGGCCTTGCTTACACATCTGTAGATAAGGAAACCGACTCACGTTTTTTAAAGATTATCTGCTTTCTTAAATAATCACTTAGAGAAATGATTAATCACTTATACTCATTTTAATTTTTATAATTAAGCTTGTATTTCATTCATGTTACACTTCCTTGAAGGATCAAGACAGTGCTGAGGGAAAGGAAAGAATGGTTTATGGGTTGCTTCAGGCAGCATTTTCTTCATTCATTTAATAAATACGTATTGTGTTAGTTTCTAAGAATATAGCTGAGAATAAGACAGGCACAGTCTAAGCTCTCATACAATCAATCCTAGGCCATTATTAAATTAATAACAATTATTCTTGAAAGTATATATAGACACAGTTTCTTGATTTTGAAATAAACAATTATTCTTTTTAAAGGTGGATACTAAAAACACATAAGTACACAAACATTTTATTTCTAGCAGTAAACTTGGCTATAGTTTATATTAACTCTTTCACCACACATTACATGTGTTCTCTTGTTGCTATAGTTCTATTATTCCTAGAAAGCTAAACTTTCCTTCCAAAGATGATTGGATAATTCAAGCAAGAAAATTCAACAACATTTGAAAAGGAATATTTTACAGTTAATGATGGACCTTAGCTTATTTATGGTCTTCTCTTAAAGTTTGGTTCAAACTGGTAATTTGCTTCTCGTATACTCTAATTGTATTATTTCAGAAATTCTGTCAATTTGTAACATTCCAAAAGTAGAATAGAAATGGAAGTTGTTACAGTCAGTTATTGCTGCATAACAGACAAAACCAAACTTAATTGTATGAAATAAAAATCACTTTATTATGCTCATGTATTTTGTGAGTCGGGAACTTAGAAAAAGCATAGCACAGATGGCTTGTCTCTGCTTGACAATGCCTAAGATCTCAGCTGAGAAGACTCAGAGACTTGAAGTGACTCGAAGGCTAGGATTGAAATCATCTAAGAACTCACCCACTCACAGGTCTAGACAATGATGTCAGCTGTGACTGACCCTCACTCAGGGCGTCAGCCAGAATAGTTACATGTGGCTTTTTTATGTCATCTTTCTTCCTCTTCACAGCCTGGTGACTAAGTTCTAAGAGTGAACTTCTTGGTAGA